TGGATGGCTCCAGCAAAGCACATTCACATGAAAATGACTTTGAATTAACACTGATGATTTATTGAACAGGATGGAATAATTTTAAGTACTTTCTGACTGCGATGGACTGGAGACCTGTCCAGGGTGGACCCCACCTCTCGCCTGTAGACAGCTGGACCCTGCTTGGGATAAGCGTGACATAAAATGGATGGATGGAAGTACCTTCAGAAGTTTGAATTCTGAATATGACCGGACCTCTCAACCCCCAGTCTGTCATGGCTGAACTTTCACAATGAGCCTGGTTCTGATGGGGGTTTGTTCCTTTAAAGAGGAGGTTTCTTCTGGATGTATGCTCCCTTTCGGGGAGTCAGTGATACAATGCCATAGAATGTGCAGCAGGAAGGACTTCTGCAAGGTCAATGACTCCAGTCTGCTGGGTTTCGTTGCATAGAAAACTTTTTTTGACTCAGTTGTTTCTTAGGTGGGATCAGATGGAATGTATGTGCTGGACTTTACTAGTCCAGCACATACATTTGTGCTTAATTGAATTCAATGACATGTTTGTCAAGCACCTGGAGACAATATGTGTTGTAAATTGTGGCTAAACTAAAATGTATTGTAAACTTTATGTGCTCTGAATTTTCAGTTGATCATGGACTTCGTGGATCCCATCCTGTCAGTTGCTGAAAGGATCTACACGCTGGTGGAAAATGTTAAGGCCAATAAAAAGCGTTGCTCTCGTGTTGTGAAGCGCGTAAAGGCCTTGGAGGGCCTGGTAAAATCAATCAAACAGAGGGATGCAGTCGATCACTCTGCTGAGGTGGAGAACGCCCTGAGAGGTCTGTCATTCACTCTCACATCCGCTCAGGAGCTCATTGAGAAATACACTTCGGCAAACTTGGTGAAGCGTATCCTGAAGTCAAGCAGCCATGGAGATGAATTTAACAGCGTGAATGAACGACTCAATGATGCCTTCTCAAGCCTGTCATTAGCTCTGCAGTTAGAGCATGGAAACGAAGTCTTCAAGGTGTTTGACCTGATATCCAGGCAGAAGGAAGATGAAGTCGACAGCAAGGAAGATGATGCAGAATTAAAGAGAAGTAAGAAAAAACAGACATTATTCAAATGACTTTGCTCATATACACAGTGATTATATGTAAAATAAAAAACAATACATGTTTAATTTGGAGAATATCATGGCTGGGATTGAAACTTAGAGCATTTTAAACGATCATTTTATCTGATTTATTTTCTCATCACTTTTAGAGATGCTAAAGAAAGACTTATCATCAAGAAAATTATTAATTCGCTGACAGTTTTGTAAAAGCAGATTGAACCGTCTCCTGTTGCCTTCTGTCTTTAGCTTGTTGACGATAATCATGTAATAAGATGCTTGTGTAAATTCTCAGTCATCTGGGTCATGGCAGACAGCAGGTGGTCATGGCAACCAAAAAACAAAACAAAACAGGCGTAAATTGGAAGGCCGTGTTCCTTCTGGGATTAAATGAGAAACGTTTATATTTTTAATTAAACTGATCAATTTTTAACCTGATCAGACTTTTAGTCACGTTTGATTTTTCTGTCCTCAGTGCTGAAGGAATACGGGGAATACGTGGAGACCATGCAAAGAGATCTTGAAGATATCAAATCCAATGTAATAAAAATCGTGGAGATGTGTGAGTATGGGGCATCATTTCTACAATCCGTGTTAGAACACCAGTTTCCCCAGGTTTTATTCTGTTACTACTGTCCCTAGAAAAACTTTCCAGATATAAAGAGATTTCTGGAGACCCCCGACAACTATTTCCATCTGTTTTATATTTTTTAATTAAGACAGGGCAAAGCAAGCTGAGTTATACAGCACATTTCAGCAGCACGACATCTGGATCAGCTGTCTGATCTACTTTCTATAGTTCTAGTGAGGATGCAGGCAGCAGCATCTGGATCAGCTGTCTGATCTACTTTCTATAGTTCTAGTGAGGATGCAGGC